AAAAAGTAGCAAGAAAGTATGTCTGACATAAACTTTCAAAATTGAAATCTTTCAGATGATGGAAAAATATAGGAATACGGAAACAAACACTACGATGGGGTTCTTTGAGAGGCTCAATGAATTTTACATAAATAAACAACTTGCAAACAGCGTAACAAAATTCAATCCGATAAACGGGATGATCGCCACATCGTCTCAAGAAATCATGCGACGAAATATCAAAAAAGACATGCTATTAATACTGAGAGACGCAAAAGCATAACTGAGGAATGAAGAATACTTGGAAGATCTAGTCGGAAAAATAGAAAAAGGTACCCTACATGAAAAAATAAATGACGATGACCACAGAATCTGTTAACTCGCAGCAACACTAAATATGACTTCCCTATTGATAAAATTTGAGCATCCAAGAAAACCGCACGGATATAGATCACTTTCTGATAATAATAAAGATGAGCACGCTCAGATGTCTCATGCTAAAAGAGATGTAAATAAGAGAAACATTTGAACAATATATGAATGAAAATATCTCCAACCTTATGAGTCAACCCACAAATATAAACAAAAGATGGCAGGCATTAAAAAAAAAAATAAATGAAACAAAAAATTAAGTAATAGGAAAGAAAAAAAAAACAACAAAAAGAAATAAAGACCGGTACGATCAAGTGAATTAAACAATAAAGCAATAGGAAAAAAAAAAACAACAAAAAGAATCTGGTACGATCAAGACTGTGAAACAAAGACAACACTAAAAAACGCAACAAATAAAAAGAAGAAAAATGACTGGTTAAATGAAAAGCTAGAGGATATTTAAAAGACAAAAAAATCTTAAAATAATATAATTTTACAAAAAGGTCAGACCGACAAAAAATACGCCCAGGAATAAAACAATAGGACTAAAAAATAAAAAGGAAACACCATATTTGAAGATAAACAGATCAACACAATATGGGAATAATGTTACGAAAACATGCAGTCCACTACGGAGGAAATACACTGTGATGAAGAAGTTAGACCAATACTACAAGATAACGACGACAAACACAGGAAATTACACAGAAAATGAAGTACAAAAAGAAACTAAAAACCTCCGAAACCAAAAAGCAGCAGGAGAAGATGAAATAGTTAGAAGAATTAATAAAATACGGAAAAAGAAAATTACACAAAGAAATAAACAAGCTAATACAATAAAAATGAACACTACAAACTTCTTCTAAGGGTGCTTGTCCGTTCCGAACGTTGGCTATGATTCTGCCTATCATGACTTTGTTGGTTGCTATACAAGATAGATTAACTGTGTTGAGGTCTTTCTATACCATGATCTCAGGTTAACAAGTCAGAATATCCTTCTTCGTCCTGAGGCCTTTTTTCCTTCAATTTTACCTTACAAAATGCATGGGAGTAGCTCATATCTGCCTTGATTTCTCATTATATGTCCCAATTACTGCAGTTTACGTCCCTTCACGATGTTGACCAAATCCGCAGTTGTGTTCATTTTCCGTAGTACTTCCTCATTGGTGACTTTGTTTGTCCACGGTATCTTCAGAATACCACTCCTTTCACTCCCATTAAGATTTTTACCTGATCTGTATATTCTACATCTATTCGGAGCACCGCTGATTGATTCCAATACAGGTTAGCTATTATTTTTAAGTCTCTTCCATCAATACCTGACTTTTCAGCACACTTCCATAATTTGTTCATGTCTGATTCTATCGAATGCCATTCTTGTAGTCAATGAAACATGCAAAAACATCACAGCTGACATTTATACATTTCTGAAACAACACCTGCACGCTAAATAAAGCTTCCCTCGTACCAACGGCGTTCATAAATGTAAACTGATTGGGCGAAATTTTTCCCCAATTTATTTCTCCCATTTCCCGTAAATTTTTTTGTGGATGACTTTTAAAAACAGCTTCAACAGATGGCTCATTAGGCTTATGGTCCTATAGTCTTCACAAACTTTTGCTCCTGGTTTTTTGGACAATGGTACGAACTCCAATTTGAGCCGCTCTAGTGATATTTTTCCTGCTTTGTATATTTCATTAAATATTTCGGTTATTATTTCTATTTGTTCTAAATTTAATAGCTTCAACAGTTTTGCAGGAATTTCATCAAGTTCCGGTGCCTTCCTATTTTTCATTTGTCTGACGGCTGTCGTTATTTCTCCTGGTAAGATTTCGGGACCTGAATTTTCTTCAATGGTGGGTTCTTGTATTGTTCTAAGGTCGTGGAAAAGTTTCTCCAAGTATTTTTCCCATACTTTCTTTTATCTTCTTTGGTTATGGTAAGGTTGCCTTCATCAACTGTTATTTTTCCGCTATTGCGTTTGCGAAACTTTCCAACTATTTCTTCACCTTTCGATGGATATTAAAGTTATCATATCGACTCTGATACTCCTGTATTTCTTGACATTGTTCTGTTTTTTTGTTTTTCTTTGGCTTCTCTTATCTGTCTTTTGACGATGGTATGTATTTTCTTATATTCTTGGAGATTTTCTTTGTTTTCTTTCTCTGATCCATAAGTTCAAGTATTCCATCGGTCATCCACGATTTTTGTTTCTCTGTATCTTTCTTCAGGTGTTGTTCTTTTATTTTTCTCACTATTTCTTGTATGATGGTCAGGCTTTTCCCTTTAGTTTCTGCATTTCTGCATTATAGCACCTTTGTATTGAGATTTTCACTCACCTTTAGTCGAACATTGGGATCTTTCAGTTTTCTAATATCATACTTCTTCATCGACTTATTTGTAACCTTCTTTATTCTGACTTTAAAGTTAACTAAAACTGATACGTGATCAGAATTTATGATCACTCGGATCCTCTCGGAGTATGTTTTGAAAGATGTTCAGCTGCTCCTATACCTTTTATTTACTAACATGTAATCAATCTAATTTCTTACAATCATTCACACAAAATCCTGTGGAGATTTCCAGGCGTACAATTTCCTTGGATGTAGCTTAAACTAGGTGTGCATTATTACTAATTGATTTGCTTCCACAAAAATGTCCAATGTATCTCTCCGCTCGTATTAACTGCAGATAATGTTTTGCTAGTCCCAACTTTGGCGTTGAAGTCACCGTCCCCCATGACAATTGTTAGGTCTTGCTTTTTTTTAACCTTTTCACGACTTTTAAGAGACTGAAGATGTTGGAGTAAATGTTATGAATTAGATCTGCAGAAACATTTGGGAAACCGGAGAGTGGCCCAACGACTGGACAACATCCACTTTCATCCCTATATTCAAAAAAGGAACTCGAGCTAGATTGCAGCAACTACAGAACGGTAACCCTAATATCCCATGCAAGCAAGTTTCTACGTCAAGTAATACATGAAAGACTAAAAGATTTTCTATTGCCTCAGATATCAGAAGAACAAGCGGGATTTGTCCCAGGAAAAGGCACAAGAGAACCTTAATGTCAGACAACGAATCGAAAAAACTCGTGAATTCAATACTCTTATGCTTATGTGCTTTGTGGATTACACAAAGGCCTTCGATTAAGTCAAATGGCAGCAGCTATGGTCCATACTAGCGGAAATGGGAACACCCCATCAATAAACTCAACTAATTAGAAGTTTATATGAAAATAATAAGCGCATAATAACAATAAACAACACCCATTCCGATGATTTAGGAACACAGGCAGGTGTCAGGTAGGAATGCATAATCGCGCCAGCTCTGTTTAATATCTACAGCGAACACATTATGCGAAAGGTACTAGACGGATGGAAGGGCAGAATATCAGTAGGAGATCAAAAAATCAATAACTTGAGATATGCCGATAACACTTTAATAAACGAGGCAAATCAAGAAGAAATGGAAGACATAATGAGATGTCTGGAGGAAAAAATAAAACATATGGACTAGAGCTAAATAGGAGTAAGACAAAGATCATGATAGTAGACAGAGCTCGGAATAATCTTCAACACATTCAAGAAATTGGGGGCTTTGAAGTAGTAAATAGTTTCATATACCTGGGGTCCCTAATAACAAATGACGGAGAGTGTGACAGAGAGATACGTAGAAGGTTGACTATTGCTAGAACAGCTATGATGAAACCGGTAGCAATTTAAAAAAATTCTAGTATAACAATACTACACACAAAACTAAGGCTGGTAAGGGCACTCATTTTTTCCCATAGCCACATATGCATCCAAAAGGTGGACCTGAAAGAAAGCGGATAAAAATAAACTGGACGCTTTTGAAATGTGGGTATACCGCCGCATGTTGAGAATATCCTGGATTGATCATCGCACGTATCGATATTAGAACAGCTTAAAGTAAAGGATATATTGATTAAACAAATGCAACAGAGATATTTGCAGTATTTTGGACACATTGCTAGTAGAAAAGGTACGATGGAAAAACTGATAATCGAGGGTAGAATTGAAGGAAAGAGACCTACAGAGAGGGAAGATCTCCAAGCCCTTGGGTAGATCAAACAAAAATATTGATTAACCAAGGGTTACATGAAGCCGAACAACTAGCCCAGGACAGAAAAGGATGGAGGGAAATCGCGAAAAAACTGTAAAGGTCTGATGGTGTCACAACATCCCAAAAGGGATTAGGACTGAGGAGGAGGAGGATATGAATATGAAATGAAGCGAAGTCGAAATAATATTAACTATTAATAAACGCAAACTTAAGTACTTAGGTCATGTTATGAGAGAGCAAAAATGCTTATTATGTAAGGTACAATTCGAGGAAAGCGAAATGTGGGAAGACAAGAATTATCCTGGCTTAAGAATCTGAGGGAATGGTTTGAATCTAGTAGTGCAAAGCTATTTAGAGCGGCGATCAACAAGGTTTATGTAGCCATGAAAATAATCTTCAACATTTGATAGAAGATGGAACTGGAAGAAGAAGAATGAACCATGGAGAAATTAACATATACATCTTTAAAGTATTTTTCACCAATATTAAATAAATAATTAATTTTGATTAAAATCATGAACTTAAAACTAATTAGTAAAAATAAAAAAATCAATTAATGCTTACCTATCAATACAACCAGAATAGAACTCTCGAATGCCTTCATAATACTAACACACAATTTTTCCTGTTTCTTCAAATTTCAATGAACTAGAAATATATGTTTAAAGATAAAATGGAGAGAGGAGCGACAGAGGTCATTGTATGAAAGATTTAGCAAATGAAAAATTGTAGTGTCAGCTTGTGACTTGCGTCTCAAAACTATACTGAACTACGACCTCTTGTGATTAGTTTGTTAACACTCAATTTCCGATTTACTGAAGATTTGTTTTTGTTAGATTCAGAACCGTTTCTACGTATTTTAGTTCAAAGTTTAATAATATTAATTTAGATTAACAGTTTTTAAGAATAGCAAACATCTTGCAGGAACGATGTTGTACTTTTTTATTTTCTATAGACACATGTATTAACCCACCGCGGTACGGGTGAATGTGTGTGAAGAGAAACACATTATACCTATATTTAAATATTTTACAAAAAATGAAAACAAACAATTTTTTCATTCCTATTCGAAAAGCCAACGAATCAACACCTCGGCTTCTTCTAATAGTATTTCTAAATAAAAAACTTGTCAGTTAATGTAATTTGTTATCAAGTAATTATTGGAAGTGAAAAGTTTTTTGTGAATCAACTTGGTATATACTTTTGCACGATACTTTATAATTGACACCAACACCCTAATAGGTCAGGCATTGCGCCTCGTTTTTATTAAATATTTTGGCATCCAGAATATTTAAAAATATTTCCTCAATCCACCGCTCCAAGCTACGCAACTGTTACCACATCAAATACATAAAAAACCTACACCGGCTACCACATCATATCCTAGCAGAAAGCAAGCGATAGTATTAAATGCCCTTCCAGAGTTTCCAACCAACTCATTTGCATCTTTCTTGCTTCTATTTCTGACGTTGATATCCTTCTCAAAAACAATCCCACCGTTTCCGTTAAAAATAAAATCTCCAACTAAAAGATTGTTAATATGTAATGTATGTCCATCGATTCCAAATCAACTTATCGAGCAGGCATTAAAAAATGAACATTTCCCTCCGAATCTTCTTTACATCAGACACACTTGAAAGTTTCTTTGCCAGAAGACGGACACACGGCTGAAATCTGCTACAACCCACCGAATACCACTACCCACCCCCGATTTGCCCACGTACCTAATGAATCCACCAACAATAGCCCCACCGCACCTTCTTGCACCTCTTACCCTACCTTTAAATCAACCTCAAACTACACCTCTTACTATCGCCCTCCTCAAAACAGCCCATTCAACTGACTCAAGCCTCGATTCTCCCCTCTAATTACTATTTCAGATCCCACTACTCACATCGATCCACATTCCCTCCATCGATCGGGACCACGAATCAACCCTTAAAAAAATCGAAAACTAAAGATACAAAACCATTACCCACTATCAGCCCGTCTGCCCGCTCAATCATAGAAAATCTTACAGCAGCAAACCCATTATCCTTCTCAATTAACTCGCTACAACTAATTGCTTTCTTAGAAAATTCTTTTGACTTCCATGACCCCTTAGCTGAAGCATACCAATCCACCACGAACATTAACGCCCTTTCTGAAGACCTCAAACAAATCTACCATAACATCTCTCATCATCATTATCATCAGTGGTGCTACAGCTCTAGTTGAGCCTTGACCTTCCCCAGTCTATTTCGCCAGTCGTTTCTGTTCATCGCCAACCGTTGCCAATTTGCCGCGCCGATTTTCCTTGCGTCCTCGTCCACACCGTCCCTCCATCTCAGTCGTGGTCTGCCTCTACTCCTATTTCCCACTGGGACCGATAATAGAGTTCGTCTGGGTGGGTAATTTTCATTTGCTCTTGACACATGTCCAGCCCATCTAAGCCTACCTATTTTTATGAAGGATATTACATCTCTACCATTTACTATTTTTTTTATACTTCTCGTACAATTCGAAATTATATCGCCTTCTCCAAATACCATTCTCACAGAATGCGCCCATTATTCTTCTTAGTATCTTCCTTTCGAAGACGAGCAGAAGATTTGCGTCTGTTTTGGAGATGGTCCATGTTTCTGACCCATATGTCAGCACTGGTAGGATGAGTGTTCGATATATTATTAGTTTGGTTTTCTGGCTTAAATTTCTGTTTTTTAGCTGCTTGCTTAGTCCAAAATAACATTTGTTTGCTAGCAGTACCCTCCGTTTAACTTCTTCAGATGTGTCATTATCGTTTGTTATGAGAGAACCCAAATATGTAAACTTATTTACTACCTCAAAATTATATTGGTCTATACTGAAGTTTTGTTCGGCGTTTCTAGCTCTATCTCTGTTATTTGGAATAGATGCTAACATTTTGGTTTTTTCCTCGTTTATTTTAAGGCCCATATTTTGTGCGGCTGTCAAGAAGGTGGAAGTCATCTCTTTAAGTCCTCGTGTAGTACGTGCGATCAAATCCAGATCGTCAGCGTAAGCCATAATCTGCGTTGATTTATTAAAGATTGTTCCCCTATTGTGTAACTCGGCATCTCTTATAGTCTTTTCTAACGCTATATTAAAGAGAAGGCACGCCAGCGCGTCTCCCTGCCGTAACCCTGCATATGTTTCAAACGCTTGTGACATATCGCCTTGTATTTGCACTCTGCAGATCACTTTACTCATAGTTGTTTTTACGAGCCTTATTAATTTATGGGGAATGTTAAGTTCATTCATGGCTTCGTATAATTTACCTCTTAGGACGCTATCATACGCTGACTTAAAGTCCACAAAGAGATGGAACGTGTCAATATTAAATTCATTGGTTTTTTCTAAGATTTGACGTAGCACAAAAATCTGGTCAATTGTTGACCTACCTGGCCTAAAACCGCTTTGATACTCACCAAGGATTTCTTCCACGTACGTACTTAAACGGCTGTACAGGGTGTTGGAGAATATTTTGTACATTGTATTCAGAAGAGTTATACCCCTATAATTTTTACATTCCAACAAATCTCCCTTTTTGTGCAGTGGACATATGATTCCAGTGCACCATTCCTCTGGCATTTGTTCTTCTTCCCAGACTTTGACTATTATGTTGTGAATTTGGTGCATAATGCTGTTACCTCCATGTTTGATGAGCTCTGCGGGGATACAATCCACTCCTGGGGACTTGCCATTTTTGAGTCGTGTGATTGCGTCTTTCACTTCAAATATTGAAGGAGGTTCTACGTGAGTGTAATTTCTTGGTCTTTGGGGTGACGCATCATTTTCCACTTCGGTACCAAGTAGTTCTTTGAAGTGCTCAATCCATCTGCTTTGTACTGCGTCAGCGGTACTGACTATATTTGTCCATTTTTGTCTCTACACATCGTCAGCCGTGGTTTAAATTCTTTTCTTGTCTTATTTAGGATATTATAGAACTTTCTAGTTTCATTTTGTTCCTTTAATGATTGAAGCTCTTGCATAATCTGGTTTTCGAAGGTCCGCTTTTTCCTTCGATGTATGCGTTTTTCCCTCCTTCCTAAGATCTTTGTACATTTGCTCCTTATCCCGTGTTCTTCTTTGTTGCATAAGTTTATATGCATAATTTTTTCTTTTAGTGATATCTTCACATTCATCGTCGATCCAACTGTTGCGTGGAGTGGATTCTTCTGGTCCTAGGACGTTGTTTGCCGCTTCCTTAATTGTTCTTCTACATATATCCCATTGCTCGCCAGCTGTTAAAGTCTCATCGGTTGTGCTTTCATGTTCAAGGTAATTTTGATACCTTTCTAGTGCACGGGGCTCTTTCAAGAGTTTTAAATTGTAGCGAGTACTTTTCTTACCCTTTTCTTTTTTTGCATTTGAGATTCATGCTCTTATTTTTGCGCCTACTAAGAAGTGGTCTGAATCTATATTAGCTCCACGATAAGTACGTACATCCATTAGATTAGAGAAGTGCCTGGTTTCTATAAGGATGTGATCTATTTGATTTTTGGTTGTACCATCAGGTGACGTCAGTGTTACTTTATGGATATTCTTATGGGGGAAGTAGGTACTTCCAACGACCATGCCCTTGGATGCTGCAAATCCTATTATTCTATTTCCATTGTCGTTGGTGACGTCATGAGCGCTGCATTTTCCGATGTATGGACTATATATATTTTCTTTCCCAATTTTTGCATTAAGATCTCCAATTATGATCTTGATGTCGTTTCTGGGACATCTATCGTAGATGGTCTCTACTTCCTCATAGAATTGATCTTTGACATCCTCTTTTTGTCTTCGGTTGGGGCATGTACATTTATGAGACTGATGTTAAAAAACTTACCTCTTATTCTTAGGTAACATATTCTTGGACTTATTGGTTTGAAGTCCATAATAAGATGTTTTACTTTTTTGTTAACAATGAATGCGGTCCCGAATTCGTGATTATTCTTGTGACAGCTGTAATATATATCGCATTGTCTCTTTTGGATAATTCCTTGGCCAGTCCATCTTACTTCTTGCACAGCAGTAATGTGTACTTTATATTGAGTTAGTATGTCTATAACTTTTTTAAGATTTCCAGGTTCATAAAGTGTCCGCACATTCCACGTGTAAATTTTTAAATCTTTGTCCTTATTTCGTTGCATTGGTCGTCGTCGTAAGTTCCGTCCGGTTTCTTTAGCTGTAGATCTCGTAACGATATTTTATTTTACGGGGTAGAGTTGTTAGCCCTAAGCCCAACCTCCAACCTGGAGGGCCAGGGACTCTTCTGTTAGGGTTACCATACCTTAGTCCGTTTTGGTTCACGGGTGGTATTTTATTTCCCACCTACCCGCCGGTCCTAGGACCGGTTAGGGCGTTCCGCTATCCAAGAACTAGGGACGCGTCCGATGGGAGACAGACAACTCCACACGGAATAATATCTCTCATAGATCACTTAAAAATCGTATAACTCGCCTACAAAAAAAAAAAAAACAAAATTAAGGCTACGATGAATCTAAACAATGTTGTTGACACTGTTAGTCTTGCATATGTTAGCTCTAATGACAGTGATACTCCTTAGACAAAACCGACCTGCCTTAATTTATAACTTTCATATTCGCTATAATTAAATGGAATACTATCCGCGCTTAGAACGTCTGTAGCTACTGATATCTCTCCACCACCCCACCTTCATTTGCTTGCAGGAAACAAACTTCACGTCAACTAATCTCCATACAGTCAAAGATTTTGAAGGGTATCATTATATCAGATCTGTCTGCTCCGGGGCTAGTGGAGGTGCATCCATATTTGCTTCTAAAGACCATTACTCCACTCTACTTCCTCTGACTACCAATTTCGAAGCTGTTGCCATCATAACTTACTGCCCTAACAAACTTACCATATGCTCTATATACATCACTTCTGACTACATTTTAAA